CATATGCAGCCATCATAGCTTTCTTTACATTCTCTTTTGTAAAGTAAGGCTTGTAGACTTTGGTCTCCTTGGATTATTCTTTACCATTGACCTTACCTTTATCATTCTCCTTTAAAGGTCAGTCCCATATGAAGTGATCTTTGGAGCCACACTTGAAACAGGTAGTGTCTTTGGAACTTACATCCTTTTTGTTCCTATCAAAATTCCTGTTGTTCATCATCTTCTTAAACCTTATTACTAGCATAACAATGTCTTCCTTATCAACTTCTGATTCATCTGAGTCTTGTGCCTTAAGAGCGAGGCTCTTGTTCTTGGAACTCTCTGCATTGGAACTCAAATGAAGTTCATGAGTGATCGAGGAACCTGCCAACTATTCCATGTTGAACTTTGTAAAGTCCTTGGATTCCTACGTTACAGTAACCTTGGACCTCCATCGTTAATATTGTGGTAGACTCCTCAAGATCTTTCTAGCCTGTATATCTATAGGGATATGCCTGCCAAAGGAACTCAGTTCATTAATTATATCATTGAACCAAGTAAACATTCCCTCTATGGTTTCCTTAGATTGCATTTCAAACCTCTCATATCTAGATATTAATAAATAAATTTTGGAACGTTTTACCTCATTTGTACCTTCATGAGTAACTTCCATTAGATCCCAAATCCGTTTAGCAGTTTTGCATCCCATGATTCGGTTATGTTCATGGGGTCCAAGACCATAGTGCATATATTTGATAGCTAAAGCATTTAACTAAAGTTTCTTATAATCTTCTTTATCAAAATAAGAAATAAGTTTAGGAACTACCTCATTTTATCGTTGGTTGCGTTTACCTCAAAATCACAAGATTCAATAACACGCCAAACCTTGTAATTTTCAGCCTTAATGAATATTTCCATCTTGTTCTTCCAGTAGGTATAAAACTTACTATTGACATGGGTGGGCGTTGGGTTGAATATCCTTTTTCGAGTTTCTCTTTGTAATTCATCTCTCCTCAAGAACTTACTCAGCAAAGTTATCTGCTTACACGTGAGAACCTTGCTCTGATACCAAATGTTAGTTGAGACAAACACTACAAGAGGAGGGGGTTTGTATGTGAGTTCCTATTGACTACTTTTTGCGGAATGCAAAACAAAATGTTAAGGAACTTTCAATGCACACAATATTTTACGAGGAAATCTTCAAGGGCCAAATGGAAATAAAACCTTGACCCTTTTAAGGGATTTCCAAATCAATCCAATGCACTATAATAGGGAAAACTTCTCAAGTTACAAACCTATTAAAATCTGACCTATACTCACAAGTTCTGGAATGAACTTGCTACATAGTAGGACCCTATCCTACCCAATCTAAGTCTCTGACTTAAAATCTATCATACTCTCTGAGTACTACTCACTCAGATTCAAACTAGAAACTTACACTATTGTATGCTAAGATGAATACACACACACACACCCAAGAACCCAACCAATTACAAAATATAGACTCTAATATATGAGAGGCAAGCTACGCATGAAACTTGAAACAAATATGACAAAGTTATGGACTTGGTAAACTTACACAATTAAGCACACTTCGATTTCTTCATGCATAAAACTCACAGAAAAATAAATTCTGATATCTACTGTTTATGCAAGACTTGTGATGTACACATTCTATACCTTATTTAACCCTCATTTTATAGCTATTTTTGTATAGTTTTTGAGCACCACTGAGCTATGTATCATAAATATTCTCTTCTCTAGTGTGGTTTGGTCGATTTAATTAATTTTGTAGGCATATGAAGATTTTTGGATGATTTGGACCTGTTTTGGATGGCCACGAGAGCTTATTAATATGGAAAAGCATTTTTCCCGTGTCCGCCCTGGAGGGCAACATTGCCCTAGCAGCCAGGGCGAAGGAAAGAGAAGATAAAAGAATCGTGCGGAGAGTTTAACTCTATCCGCCAAGACTGGGCACCATTTCCCTAGCAGCCCGGGAAGACAAGGTACTGCACAAGAAAGGCTACGTGAAGAAGCGCAAGTTGGAGTTGCTTCTCGCGCCTGACCGGGCGGAGATTCCCTTGACGCCCGGGCACAACCTCACGATCATTTTCGGGATTTCTTAAATAAAGGATATAAATACCCTTTGTAAAGCCCGACCAGATCTTACTTAGTTATTTTTTTCCATCTTTTAAACCTTCATTAGAATCTTAATATTCTCTCTAGATCTAGATTAATTTACACTTTCAAGTTTCGATCTTTGTTCATCAGCAATTGGTACTTTTCTTCATTTCAGTAATTGGTATTCATCTTTACTTTTTTTTTTACTCTTATTTGTTTATTAATCATGTTTTCTTCATTGAATATTGTTTTTCCTTTCGTTAAGATGTGTGAGTAGTTTTCTTATACCAAGATCTAGCGAAACCCGAATATGATTGATGCATGATTTAATTCTTTAAATTCTCTAATAATAATTGTAATTGATATTCTTAATTGATTATGCTTATGCCAATACTAGATAAGGGATAATTGGTATTGTTATTAATCCATTGTTTTAATCGCAACGGAACTTAGGTTTGACGGATATGAATAAATCAATCAAGGGTTTGAAGTTCATCACGGAAGTAGTTGAATGAATGATTAGGAAGTTAGAGTAATGAGCTCAAAGTCTTTAATTTACATGATTCCACGGAAGTAGGCTTGAGTGTCATTAGAGAAGCTGATAACTAAGGAGAGACCATTGTATTCGTCGTAATGCTTGATTTTGGATGTTTTAAGCATTGATTTGTCATATTGTTTAGATTTAATCATTTTAATTAGTTCTTTAGATAAAGATTCTCACTTATTTTATTTGGTTACTTGCTTAGTAATTACTTGAGTCTATTTAATTAGTTGAACCATAGTCTCTTGGATCCGACCCTTGCTTGCCTGTATACATAGTAGTGGTGTAGTTAGGTTTATTTTAATTAGGTATGCGACACGCCTATCAAATTTTGGTGCCGTTGCCGAGGACTAAAGCTTTTATATTAGTTATTTGTGATTCATTTTTACTAAGCTTTAGCTGTTGCTTCGGCTATTGTCTCTTGTATTTTTTATTTCTTTGCTTATAGTTCTTTGTTGCATGCAAACTCGACATTCAGGGTCAGACAATTTCATTCCACATGATTGTGAAATTGAAGCAACTGCCAAGAGACAAGGAAGTAGAAGAACAAGGAGAAATCAAAACCCTAGAAACATGGTCGATCAAGAAACAAAGCCTCTTTTGGAGTATTGCATACCTGATACCACAACTGAACTCCTCACCATCATTGTTAGACCACCATTTACTGCTCAGAATATTGAATTGAAACCATAATTCCTTCAATTCATCTCTAATGATTTGTTTGTAGGCACACCTCATTATTGCCCAATCAGTCACATTTATAGTTTTTTTAGAGAAGTGCGATGCTATGAAGCTAAATGGTGTTATAGATGATGATATTAGACTTTGCCTTTTTCCTTTCTCATTACAGGATAGGGCGAAAGAATGGTTTAGGGATGATGATACTGGCTCTTTTTACACATGGGACAAGCTGGTTAAAGCTTTTCTAGGCTTGTTCTTGGGACAGGAAAAGACTACAAGGTTGAGAAACGAGCTATCTACTTTCGGGAAGTCAGATGATGAGTCCTTATATGAAGCATGGAGGAGGTTCAAGCGATTGCAAAGACAATGTCCTCACCATTTATATTGATGCTACATATAGGGGCTCTCTCTTGACTAAGAACCCAACTGAGGCAAAGGAGTTAATTGAGAAGATGGCGGCCAATGATAATTATCATCTTGGGGGCCAAAATAGTGTGAAAAAGGGAGGAAAATTTGAATTTAATGCTCTAACTCTTTTAACTAGACTAGTTCTATGCATGCATTGACAAGCAAGTTTGATAAGTTCTAAGCGGCATCTTCTTGCTCATGTGCTGAAACATGTAAAATGTGTAATGTACAAGGTCATATTGCACCTGATTGTCCACAAAATTCACATGAGATGTTGATCGAGAAAGCCAATGCATTCTAAACTTTGAATCCCAAAAAGCCATATGATCCTCATTCAAACACATATAATGAAGGTTGGAAAATTCATCCAAATTTCTCTTACAAGAATACCCAATCTCAACATAATCCACATCCACCACCACCTCAAAACACAATTATAGTGCACCACCTGGTTTCCAAGCAAGACCACCTCAAGTCCAACAACCTATGCAACCACCTCTAGTCAAACAACCTGTGCAACCACCTCGACAAAAATTCAACCTTGAGTTGATGATGGAGAACTTCGTTACAACAACGAACAACAACATCCAATAACTACAAGCTCGGAAAAAGGTCATGGAAAATCAAATAAGTCAACTTGCTCATTAAGTTGGCCAATCTTTAAAGACTCTTGGCGCCTTTTTGGGTTAAAAAGAGCAACCACCAAAGGGGCTTGTGAATGTTGTGACTTTGTGGAGTAGAAAGCAGTTGGAAGATCCTCCCATGAAGGAGCCATCAAAGGATTTTGTTGAAAAAGTAGTCACATATGAGAAGGTGGTCAATGGTAGTGCGATTGAGGAAGAGCAAAAGGCATCAACTCCCCCACCACTTGTTCCATATGTTCCATAAGTTCCTTTCCCACTAAGGTTAGCTCAAGCTAAGTTAGAGAAAAAGTATGGAAAATTTCTTGATATTCTGAAAAAGCTTCACATCAACATTTCATTCTTAGATGCAATATCCGAGATGCCAACTTATGCAAAATTTTCACTACTAGAATTATAGTAATTAACAACGACTCAATAACGAGGACATAAAAATTTCATTGTTAAAAGCACACTTATAAATAGGACTAAAAATGTTTCTCGTGAGTGTTAGACTATTATCTGCACAATGAAAAAATAATGTTAAATATCTGTCTTTAATAATCTAGAAAGAGAAAAAAATACAAAAAAAAAAAAAAAAACAAATCGTCGTTAATAATATATGACGCGGCGGGATTAAAATTTAGAACGGCTAAAATTTCTATTTTTCACTCTTACCTCCTGCTGCATTGAACTCCTAAAAGAAACCCTTGTTTTCCCAATCAAAACCTATTCACTCTAAAATTCCCAATTCGCGGATAATCGGAAGCTGTATTCCTAAATCTTGCTGATCAAGGTCTATTCTTTCTCAAACTTAGAAGCCAACAAGGATATATTCAATATTCGGTATGTTATTATATCTCTTTTGAATTACAAAATTGCAGTTTAAGTTTTAGTTTCAATTTAATATATTGAAGGACTTGTTATTTTGTTAAAATCTGAAGTTTTCCCTTTGTTTGATTTTAATTTTAGGCCCGATTTCAATATGGTTCATCAATTTCCCCCTTTTCTATTGTAGTTTCATTTGACTTTTAGTCAAATTATTCAAGTTTGATGTTTTATTGAATCCGATCCTTGAGTTCACAATCTGATTCTTTATTTTCTAATTTGTTTAACTATTTGCATGTATCTCTAAATTATTTCCTTTAATTTGTCTCTTACACTTTGTTATCTACGCATACAGAATGTAAATTTTTTCCAATACTTTTAATTATATAATTTGTTGGCTGAAATATTAGCTGTGTAAATTAGCATATATAAGTTGCTATAGATAATTGGTGGTTTATGTGAATTAATTTGAGAAAATTTATGATATATATATATATATATATATATATATATATATATATATATATATATATATATATATATATGTATGTATATATATAGGGGAGGGATCTGGTGAGAATAGGTCCATATGTGAGAAATCATACTTATATGAGAACTGATTTAAAATTTAGAACATGTGAGTAAAAATTTAGAACATGCGACTCAAATTAAAATTCTGAACATATGAGTAATAATTTAGAACATTTGTGTGAGTAATATGTTTAGAACATATGATTAAAGAATTAGAACAAGTGATTACAAATTTATAAAATTTGATTTATGAAATTTTAAACATATGATTTAAGATTATGAACATGTAAATAAAATTTAGAACAAATTGATATAGAATATAGAAAATGTGAGTAAATAATTTAGAAAATACGTGTAAAAAAATAGAACATACGCTTTAAAATTTGGAACATATAATCGAAAATCTTAGAACTTACGCTTTAAAATTTAGAACATATAAGTTAAAATTTTGGAACAAGTTATTTAAAATTTATAACATCAAACTTAACTAATTTATTGTTTAGAACATGTGAGTACTAAATTTGAACAATTGATTTAATTTAGAACACCTAAGGAAAAGTTTAGAACATCAGATTTAAAATTTAGAACATACGAGTAAAAATTTAGAACATAAAGAGTGTTCTCACATAAGAAAAATTCTCACGAGAGCCTTCCCCTCCAGCCTATTTTTGGTGAGTATGTAAGATGATGTTAGTTACATCATCATGTGTGCTAGAGTATATTGGGAGACTACAATAATATATAAATTAGGAATAATTAAAAGGAAAAGTGAACCTTAACCTTTTATTAAACAAGATAATGGCTGGGCACTTACTTTAGATTTGATTATTTAAAGGCTGCTCCATGCACTTCCATTAAAGTAACAATAATATTTCTTTCTTGATTTCTTGAAAAATTGGATACATATGTTTTTTCAATTACACTATGATATTTTGACACACACACACACACACACATATACATATATATATATACATATATATATATATCAATCTCGACATACACATCTGATCTGAAATTATGACATCCAAAATTGTTCTAATGATATAAATAGCATATAAATTTTGTTTTTATCATTATATTTTCGTGGGTTATTGGTCTGATATTAGTTTTAATGGTGTGGATTTTTGTTAGCCTATTTTTGGTGTGTATGTAAGATGATGTAAGTTACATCATCATGTGTGCTAGAGTGTATTGGGAGACTACAATAATATATAAATTAGGAATAATTAAAAGGAAAAGTTAACCTTAACCTTTTATTAAACAAGATAATGGTTGGGCACTTACTTTAGATTTGATTATTTAAAGGCTACTCCATGCACTTCCATTAAAGTAACAATAATATTTCTTTCTTAATTTCTTGAAAAATTTGATATATATGTTTTTTCAATTACACTATGATATTTTGATTGCGTAAAAGGATAACAACAACTGAAACCCATAATCTGAAAATGTAAGACAAGAATTTGATAATATATACTAAATTCATGCCTTTTAGATTGTTTGCGGTTTCCTTTGCAGATTTTTTTTGGTTTTTATTCTATAATTTTATTTACTTCGTGAAAATGGCTCCTAGTAAGGATTGGATGGCAATTGAGGATTATGTTAACGACCCATCATATGGGGAGGGAGTTGACAATTTCTTAGACTATGCTTTTCAAAATGTCAAAACCCATACAATTCGTTGTCCTTGTTATAAATGTATTAATGGAGAATCCGGTGATCGTGAGAAAGTTAGAGAACATCTACTAGTTTATGGAATATTAAAAAGGTACACCTTTTGGTACCATCATGGTGAGGGGTTAAATGAGCCAGAGCTCGTGTCAACTAGAAATGATGTAGTAGAAAAGAAAACTGTGATGAAGTGCATGATATTTTAAGGGATTTATTTCCCAAGTACAACAATGTCGATGTCAATGACGTTGAGGAGCCAAACGCTGATTCTAAAAGATTTTATAAATTAATGAAAGATTCCCGAGATTTAGTATGTGAAGGTTGCAAGACTTCTAGAATGTCTTCCCTCTTAAAACTTCTTCATATAAAAACTCTTGGTCGTTGGAGTAATGAGTCATTTACTATGCTTCTAGAATTCTTGAAAAATGAACTTCTTCCCAAGGGATCAAATTTTCCGGATTCTTATTATGAGTCTAAGAAGGTAATGAAATACCTTGGCCTATCATATCAGAAGATTGATGCATGTGTTAATGATTGCATTTTATATTGGAAGGAGAATGAGAAGCTAGATGTGTGTAATATATGTGGTGCATCAAGTTGGAAAAGCAATAAGCATAGTGGGGAAGTTAAGTGTAAAGGAAATGGTAAAAGAATACCTCAAAAGACACTAAGATACTTCCCACTAAAACCAAGGCTACAACGATTATTTATGTACTCAAAGACCGCATCTCTTATGAGACGTCATCATGGTAAGAAGAAAACTGATTTTACAATGAGACACTCTGTTGATGGATCTGGTTGGGAATCATTTGACATAGTGTACCCTACTTTTGCATCTGACCCTCGTAATGTTAGACTTGGGCTTGCTAGTGATGGTTTTCAACCCTTCACAAATTTTAAAAAACCATATATTATATGGCAAGTGATCCTAATTCCTTATAATTTGCCGCTTGAGCTTTGTATGAAGCAGCATAATATGACTCTTTCAATGCTAATTCTAGGTCCCAAAGGTCCTGGTGATGCAATTGACGTGTATTTGCAGCCTCTTATTGAGGAGCTGAAAAAGCTTTGGGAAATTGGTGTTGAGACTTATGATGCAGCATCACAACATCATTTCCAGCTCCGTGCATGTTTGATGTGGACTATTAATGATTTTCCAGCATACGCAATGCTTTTAGGATGGAGTACTAAAGGGTATTTGGCTTGTCCTTGTTGTTTAAAAGGTACTCGATCAGAGAGGCTATTTTACGGGGGTAAAGAATGCTATATGGGCCATCGATGCTATTTGCCAAAGAATCATATATGGAAAAAGGATAAAGATTCATTCGATGGAAAAGTTGATCATAGTCAACCTCCAGAACCATATTCAATTGACGATGTTCTTTATCAACTTGAGGACTTGGAGAACATTATTTTGTCTAATGATCCTAGCGTGAAGACAAAAATATCTCATGACCTTAGGGGGGACAATTGGAATAAAAAAAGTATTTTCTTTGAGCTTCCATATCGGAGGACACATCTATTACGACATAATTTAGATGTGATGAATATTGAGAAGAACATATGTGATAGTATTCTTGGGACAATTATGAATAACATAGGGAAGACCAAAGACAATTTGAAATCATGTCTTGACTTGGAAGATATGGGGTTGAGGTCTACGTTGCACCCATTAAAAGAAGGGGAAAAATGGAAAATTCCTCCGGCTCCATATACTTTTTCCCCATCTGAAAAAAAAAAAAAACATTTTTGCAATTTTTTGAAAGAGCTAAAAGTTCCTGATGGTTTTTCATCAAATATTTCTTATTGTGTGAATTCAAAGGAATTGGAAATTTCGGGATTAAAGAGTCATGACTGTCATGTAATACTCGAGCATTTGCTTCCTTTAGCAATAAGTGATCTTCTCACACCATTGGTACGTGAAGCAGTAATTGAGTTGTCCATGTATTTTACATTATTATGTGCTTTTACACTTAAGGTTGATGAATTAGAGCAACTAGAGACTCAAATTCCTATCACTCTCTGTAAATTAGAGAAGGTTTTTCCTCCCTCCTTCTTTGATGTGATGATGCATTTACCTATACAATTAGCTAATGAAGCAAAGATTGGAGGGCCGGTTTAGTTTCGATAGATGTATCGTATTGAGCAATATATGTATAAGCTGGAGTCTTACATACGGAATAGGGCCCATCCAAAGGCTTCTATCGCAGAAGGTTATTTAGTGGAGGAGTGTATGAATCTTTGTTCAAGGTATATGCATAATGTAGAGACAAGATTTAATCGTCTTGATCGAAATTATGAAAATGTCCAAGGTAATGTTGATGCTCTACCTATTTTTAGTCATCCTGGTCGAGCTTTAGGAGCTGATACTATTAGAGATCTAGAGAAGAGTGAGCTTGATGAAGCTCACATTTATATTTTGAAGAATTGTGATGAGGTCCAACCTTTTCTTCAGTAAATATTTAGTCTAGTTGCTAAGCTATTGATTCATATACTATTATTTATAAAAAGAAGTGGAGTATATCAAATATACTACTTCAATTCCATTTCATAAAATGCATAATTTAAGATGTATTCTGAAGCTTTTGCGTATACTCTCATTATTTTGTCAATTGTCCTAATCCTAAAGTCATGAAACTGTTAGCTCAAATTGTAATGGAGATGATAGAGCTGCACTTCATACTAGTCTTTTACAGGTTAGCAGACATGTATTCTGCCAAAATTATTATTAGTGGTCCGAAATTTGTTTACTAGTCTTTCCCTTAGTTTAAGGACAATTCCTAATTTGATTAGGAACTGAAAACTTAATACTGGCTTATTGAGGTGGTTGTGATATTAAACGGACGGTTCCTAATTATGTTTTATCTTTTTTTGTATTGAGATTATATCTGGTAGTGTTAGAATTAATTATATCTTATGTTCCAACATTAATTAATAATCAATCTTATGTTAGGATGTCTTTACTGATGAAAGCATTGACGCTTACAAGGAGCATGTTCTTAACCATATGAGAGAGCTATGGACAAATTGGAGGTCTGATTTATTAAGGTATAATGTCACGAAGAAGAAAATTACCTTAGCAGCTGCATACAAAGGTAAGCACCCAAACGGAGTTGAAGAGAATGATTGGAAGTGGCTAATCAAAGAGGTTTATTTAGACGACGATTTTCAGGAAAATCCACAAAACTAGAATTTTTTGCTATTATTTTTATATGATATAATGATACATATTGTTAATAATCTATTGAAAAGAAGCAATAGGAACTCTGAGAATAGAGCTCATTATCCTAAAGAGCTAATGCATCGAACAGGGAGCAAGCCTACTAAACAAGTCATTTGGGATGAATTGGTATGTTGATAATAATAAAAATTTTGCTTTCATGTCTTAAAGTATTGTATGTGATTTACAATAATTTGACTATAAGTGAATAATTATTGTGTTATGGAAGGGAGCAAATAAGGGAAATAAACTAATTTTAGTTGATGTGTTCCATGCGACTCATAAGAAAGGCACCAACCTTCCAAATGCAGAGACGAAACAAAAATATGTATGTTCATTGAATTGAATGCTTGATTTAGTTCTAAATTTGATTTTATTTTTTTGTATTTATTTTAATTTGACATGATGATTATGTTATTTATGTTGTAGGATGAAATTCGAAAAACAATAGAAAATGAACCATCACTTTCTAATGCATAGGTATATATATATTTTTTTCATATATTCCATTAGAAGAATGTAATGTACTCCCTACATAGATTTCATAATTTTTTATATGTAATGTTAAGATGTGCAAAAATTAAAGTGATTTAAATGGGTTATATGAAAAACATGTAGGTTGCACAGAAGGTTTTTAAGTCAAAGTCTCGTGATCGGGTTGTGTGTTTTGGAGGAGGTATAACACTTAAAGAAATAACAGGACCACAACCTAGTAGAGTGGAACTTCAAACTGAGTTGACAACCGCAAAAAAAAAAAAAAAAAAAAAAAAAAAAAAAATCAAGATCTAATTAATCGCGTGGACACGGTACTAGTAGAGAATGACGAGCTCAAGGGACGAATGTGTGCATTTGAAGCTGAATTAAAAGCATTCAAGGATTTTATGATGCAACAGCAATAATAAGTGGCTGCTACTTATTGTCAATAATAAGACATTTTTATGTTTTTTAGGCTTAAGGACAACATTTTATAATTAGTAAACCTATTGTGTTTCAAATCTAAGCAAAAGGCTTAACTCTCACGACTAAGTGTAAGTGATTATTGGTTTCATCAATTTTTAAGGTCAAACCTTGTGTGATAGATAAATTTGTCATTAGCTATGTTTTTTTAATGTCATTAATTTGATTTGATTTTTTTTGTGCTAATTAATTTGATTGGATAATGTATGTAGTTACCTTTTCAAATTACGATAGAATAGAAATGCCTCTTGTTATTTGCATTTGTAGTTAATAACGAAAGATTTGGTCGTTATAGATTCAAATTCTAATTTTATATAACCATTCAAAAACTATTTTACGAGGAAATAATTGGTCGTTATTGTCTAAAATTTTGTCAATGAAAGATTAGATAATAACTATAGTTACTTTGTGTGTCGTTAATGATTAACGACGAAGTAATAAGTTGTCAGTTGTCATTAACAAGAAACGATGAACATCGTTGTTAAAACCAATAACGACGGAGCCTGTTACAACGAACAAACGACGAAAATATTTCGTCATTAAATGTTTTAACGACAGTTCAAAGGCCATATAACGACGAAAATATTCGTCGTTAAAGACCCTTTTTCTAGTAGTGTTTTAAAGGATATGCTCTCTAATAAAAAGAAGTTAGCGGAGATTGCTACAGTTGCATTGAATGCAGAGTGTAGTGCAATTTTGCAAAATACACTCCCTAAGAAACTAGGCAATCCAGGTAGCTACTCCATTCAAGTGAAGCTTGGGGATTTACAGATTAACAAGGCACTATGTGGTCTTGGTGCAAGCGTGAGTCTCATGCCGCTCTCTATTTGCAAGAAACTTTAAATAGGTTAACTAAAGCCTACGCACATGTCCCTACAACTTGCAAATAGGTCAGTTAAATTTCCCTTGGGTATACTTGAAGATGTTCCTCTTTGTGTGGGAAAATTCTTTATCCCATGTGACTTTGTTGTGATGGAGATGGAAGAGGATGCACATGTCCCCATTATTCTTGGTAGACCATTCTTAGCAACTACAGGTGCAATCATTGATGTGAAGAATGATAAAATCAATTTTGAGGTGGGCGACGAGAAAATGGAATATTCACTCTTGAATGCTATGGGAACTCCTTCCATGGGAGAGACTATTTGTTAATTGGATGTCCTTGATGACTTAGAACGTGAGCAACTTTGCTTGACTAAAACAGATGATGCACTTAAAACGGTGTTGGTGGGGAGTGCCAATGAGAAAGATTGGGAAATAAGAGAGTACACACGGCAACTTGAAGAAGGAAAAGCCAATCCAACCGCCGCTCTTGTGAAGGAAGTCCTTAGTGCATCGAGTGTTGGGGAGAGTACTACGCCTCCCGAGGTAGAGTTGAAACCCCTTCCCTCTACTCTTAAATATGCATATCTTAGTCTTAATAATACATATCCTGTTATTGTTAACGCTGAGCTTAATGACACGAAATTAAAGCAACTGCTCACTGTTTGGAGAAAATATAATAGTGTTATTGGGTACACCATTAATGATATTAAGAGTATTAATCCCTCATTTTGTATGCATAAGATAATTCTTGAGGACGATCATAACTCCTGCATAGAACCTCAAAGACGACTTAATCCAAATATGATGGAAGTAGTTAAAAAAGAGGTTCTTAAATTTCTTGTTGCAGGAATAATTTACCCTATCTCAGATAGTAAGTAGGTTAGCCCTGTACAAGTAGTTCCAAAGAAAGGGGGTATGACCATTGTCAAGAATGACAAGGGTGAGCCAATCGCTACTAGAATTGTTACAGGTTGGCGAATGTGCGTTGATTATAGGAGGTTGAATAAGGCCACCCGAAAGGACCTTTTTCCCCTCCCCTTTATTGATCAGATGCTTGAACGTTTGGCTAAGCATTCCTTTTTCTGCTACTTGGAGGATATTCTGATTTCTTTCAAATTTCCATTCGTCCATGTGATTAGGAAAAGACTACTTTCACATGCCCCTTTGACACCATTGCCTATCAAAGAATGTCATTTGGATTATGTAATGCTCCAGCCACGTTCCAACTTTGTATGATGGCAATTTTTCAAGTCTTATTGAAAATTCAATGGAAGTCTTTATGGATGAATTTTCTGTCTATGGAAAATCTTTTAATTTATGTCTTGAAAATTTGGAAAAGGTGCTCTATAGATGTAAGGAAGTCAATTTAATTTTGAACTAGGAAAAATTTCATTTTATGGTACAACAAGAACTTATTCTAGGCCAAGTGGTATCACATAAGGGTATTGAGGTCGATAAAGCAAAAATAGAGGTAATTGAGCGACTACCCCCTCCTAATTCTGTAAAAGGAGTTAGGAGTTTTCTTGGTCATGCAGGATTTTATAGACGATTTATTAAGGATATTTTAGAAATCGCTCGACCTCTAACTGAGCTTTTGGCCAAGGATACCCCATTTTTATTTACTGATGCTTGTCTTGAAGCTTTTAATAGGTTGAAGGAAGCTTTGATCTCTGCTCTTGTTTTGCAACCCCTGGATTGGACCCTACCATTAGAGATTATGTGTGATGCTAGTGACTATGCGGTAGGGGGCGTCTTGGGGAAACGAAAGGATTAAAAAGTTCATGCTATTTATTACTGTAGTAAAACTCTTGATTCCGCTCAAATGAATTATGCCACAACTGACAAAGAGATGGTAGCAGTAATTTATGCAATAGACAAGTTTCACTCCTATCTTGTTGGTTCGAAGGTGATAATTCACACAGATCACGTTGCATTGAAATATTTTATGACTAAAATCCATGCCAAGCCGTGTTTGATTTGATGGGTCCTTCAATTGCAAGATTATGACATCGAGATAAGAGACACGAAAGGGAACGAGAATGTCGTCGTAGACCATCTTTCTCGTATCCTCCTTGATAAGGGGGATGGGGATGACCTCCCCATTGATGATTCTTTCCCTGACGAACATTTATTAGAACTTTCTAAAATTGAATCACTTTGGTATGCTGACTTAGGCAATTTCTTGTCCACAGGTACATTGCCTCATGGTTACTCATCTCAACAAAAGAAGAAATTCTTTTACGAGGCAAAGAGACATTTTTGGGAGGATCCATTCTTATACAAATTATGTTCCTGACGCAATGATTAGAAGATGTTTCGGAAGGTGAGGTAAATTAAATTATTTCTCATTGCCATGACTTACCATGTGGTGGACATACAGGTCCTACGAAAACGGCCATGAAGATTTTACAATGTGGTTTCTATTAGCCAACTTTATTCAATGATGTTTATTCATATGTTAAGGCATGTGATCGTTGTCAACGGACCGGTACTATTTCAAAGAAGCACGAGATGCCACCCAATAACGTACTCGAGGTCGAGTTATTCGACGTGTGCGGGATAGATTTCATGGGATCGTTCCCCTCTTCCTATGGAAATAGATATATTCTAGTAGATGTTGAATATGTCTCAAAGTTGGTTGAAGAAATTGCTAATCCAACCAATAATGCTCGTGTGGTAAGTAAATTATTTAAGAAAGTTATTTTCCCTCGTTTTGGTTTATTGGGTATGTTAATTAGTGACAGGGGAACATATTTCTTGGAGCATTGATTTGAAGCAATGTTGAAGAAGTATGGAGTGCAACATAGGATTGGCATTGGTTATCACCCGCAGACCAGTGGCCAAGTTGAGGTGTCCAATTGAGAAATAAAATCTATATTGGATAAAATAGTTGCTAAGACAAGGAAGGATGGGTCAGTTAAGATCGATGATGCTATGGGCTTACCAAACAGCATTTAAAACCTCGATTGGTACCACTCCATATAGATTGGTTTATGAAAGGCATGTCACTTACTCGTCGAGCTAGAGCACCGAGCATTTTGGGCCATAAAGAGTTTAAATTTCGATGCTCAAGCAGCGGGTGAAAAGATATTGTTACAATTAAATGAGCTAGATGAGCTTTGCCACGAAGTTTATGAGAGTTCAAAGTTGTACAAGGAAAGAACAAAAAGGTGGAATGACAAAGGTCTCATGAGAAGAGATTTCAAGGAAGGAGATCAAGTCCTTTTAGTCAATTAAATATTGAAGCTATTCTCGGGTAAGCTTCGTTCTAGGTGGTCGGGCCCATTCAAGGTTTGTAAAGTCTACCCCTATGATACTATTGAATTATGGAACAAAAATGGTGGTACTTTTAAGGTGAATGCCCAGAGATTAAAACACTACCGAGGTGGTGACCCAATCGATTAGAGAGTAGACATGACGCTCTCAAATCCGGCAAACAAATTTTGAGCAAAAAGGTGGTCGAGATTATGACCATATAAACAAGCGCTAACAGGAGGAAACCCGTCTTTATTTTATTTTATTTTATCTCATTTTTTGTTTTTTATTTTCGTTTCTTTAGTTTTTTTTTTTTTAGGAGAATGTTATTAAGTGATTTATCTTGAAATACTCATCATTAATAATATTATTTAGGTGAAGAGTGAAGGAAATCGGCTAAAACAAATAAGCTTTCTCCGCCTTGGAAGCCCGGGCAAAGCCGCCCTACCGGGTGCGAGAAGCGGCAAGAAAAAAAATAGAGAGGGGGAATTGTGACTCTCTGCTGCTAGGGCAAGGCTGCCCTACCAGGCGCGAGAAGCCTCGAAGAAAAACAAAAATAAAAAGGAAGGAGAGAAAGAGAAGAAGGAGGCCGACCCCCACCGCCCGGGCAAGTCAGCCCCAGCTGGCGCGCCACTCAAGTAGCCAAAAAAAAAATCGAACCCTTACCGCCCGATCAGCCCGGACAGGCTTGCCCTACCAAGCGTGATCCGCATTAGACACCGAAAAATAAAATAAAATAAAATAAATAATCCCTAAACCGTCGACCCCCTTCTTCTTCTTCTCCTATTATTTTTTTTCTTTTTCTCATACTCCACTTCCAATCACTCTCTCTCTCTAAAAATCCCCAATTCACAAACCCTAACACCAAATCTTTTCATCAATAACCACCACTATTCATCTCGAATTCCACATCTTTATCCATCATCTACTTCCTTTCCATCATCCTTTTCATCCTTTTTACCCTTTTCTACCAATTTTTCACCGTACCCTTATTTTTCTAGAAAGAGAAAGCTTTAGTGTTCAACAATGGCTATAAGGAAGAGGAGTAGGATTGCAACTCAAGACCCGACCTTGCACCTCAAGATTTTGATAGAATTCCCACATATCAAGTTTGTACGGAAATTTCCAAACCAAAAGGTTAGATTTTTGGAGCTTATGCATCGAAAGGTAATTCCTACCCGTTTTATTGATCATGCTTTTCTTGCTAAGATAGGAATTAATGATGATTATAAGCTCTTATTTTCAAAACTTGGTATGACTAAGTTATTCAACATGGTTCATAACACTTATGAAGATCTCACCCTTGAATTTTTGAGCTCTTTTGGAATTGAAAAAGGGAGGAATGGGTTGGTAACTTATATTTTTCCTATAGGTTGTTAAACAGGTCTCATAGACTCACCTTGGATGGTTGTAGGAAATATTTCAAGCATTACCCCTAGCTTGAACCCCACTGTGATCATACACTTAAGCATCGTGGCGTCCAAAGGGAAGGAAGCTAGAGCAAAAGAGTCGCCAACAAGTTTTAGGAACTTGTAAACCGTTCACGAGGTGAAGGTTACACCCCTTTACAATCTAGAAGATCGTTAACTCCAATAGGTCTGGAACCATGACTGGTAATTCGGTGATGAATGTAAAAATCCAACCTAAAAGAGATTGAACCTTCCCTAATAATACGCCTCTACTTTATTCTTATCGTATTCATATGCGCTTTCTGACTAACATGCAATCAATAGGTTAACCCTAAACCTGTTTATCTATGTTTGTTGAATATTAATGGACAAATAAAACTATTATTGGCGATCACTTGAATTATAATCAAATTAACCCTAAACAAGATTATTAATTATCTTATTAAACGTGATTACAAGTACAAATTCCCTTTAAACATGCATAAAAGGTGTGATCAAGTAATAAAAATAATATATATCAAGCAGCATAATCATAACCACAATCATGTTAAAGCATAATAATAGCAAGATCCTAGGCATGATACTAACAAGATTAATAACAAACCCTAGCATGTCGCTAAACATTAAAGATCAAATATATAGCCCTAACATGATACTAACATGATATTAGGAAAGAAAATAAGAAACATCACAAGAATCATAATTGATTTAAGAAAATTATTCTTTACCCTAGACATGATACTAGGAAGCATCCTTTTAATCATACTTGATATTAGAACTTACCCTAAACATGATTTCTATATCAAAATATCAATTAAACAATTAAAGAACTTACTTAAATGCCTCGTACCTCTTTCTAATAACAAAATACACACGTTAGTAACTTCAAGGAAAATAATAATCAAACAATTAAATTAAATAATTGAAATAAAGAATTAAGAAAATTTAGACTAGATTTGGGACCAAACCCTCAGAAATATCAAACCTTTCACGTCTAGGGTGAAGGCAACTTCGAACTTGGCTAGGTATCTTGTGAATGCGGAATTTTGTATGCAAAAGGTTAGTTTAGAAAAGAGAGAGAGATAGAGAGAGAGTAATCAAGAGATTCTTGATGAGAGTTAATAATAGAGAGAATAAGAGATTTGATGAGAAGAATAGATGAGAATTGAAAACGGAGGTTTTAGGAGAATTGAAAACGAATCAGAGTTTCGAAAAGAATAAAACACAATCGTAGCGTTAAACACGCGCGTGGCACCAAAATTTAGACGCTAGGCTTGGCTTCCGGCGCTGCAATACAGTTTTTCAAATTTTTTTTTACCATATCTTTTGATCCAGGTTTCCAAATAAGTCATAAAATATGTTGTTGGAAAGCTCTTGAAGTCTACTTTTCAAACCAATTAGAATCATATAAAAATATTTTGTAGATAAAAAGATATGGCCTAAATAGTGGAAGAGTGTCAGTTTTGGATAGAGTTTCATATCTAATTCATATCTTTTTCGTTATAGCTTGGATTTAATAATATAATATATCATTGGAAAGAAAATTTTAAGATCTATACAACCATATTAGATTTGGATAAAGATTATGAGGCATGAAAATAAAATCTGAATATATTCCATTTCGTACAAAACAAGAATTCTTAAAAGGAGTAGTTTTATTCAATTTCAAACTCGTTAAAACTTAATTATCAATCCTAACTCCATTAAGATATAAGTGAACCTTCTAGAATATTCTAGAAGACTATAATCAATCCTAATAGCTTAGGAATGATAATTAATAATAGGTCCTCCTCTAGATCACTGGGCCGCATATAAAAACCAAACCGGGTCCAGTTTAGTATTTTGGCCATAACCTCCTTATTATTCATCGGAATTGGGCTTATAATATATCGTTGGAAAGGTCATTTCAAGACCTATCCAACTACACTATTATTGGTCCCTTATTATGGACCAAACTAAACTAGAAAGAACGTTTTTAGTTAATAAGGTAAGAAATGAAATATTTTCAAAAACAGAAAGAAGAGATATTTTAATAAAAACATCCTCATCACTATACTTTTCACATTTTCGCTTTGTTCAATAATCAAATGACATGAATGGTATTCATCAT